ACAGTTTAACAGCGGTCCTGTTTTCAAACGAACCCAAGCCACTCCTCTTTGATTTTTCATTAGATATTTTTTTAAAATAGGTACATTTTGGTTTCTCATTTCTCAGTTACACTTTGTGTTGAGCTAACCAGTGGTCAAGTGATCACCTGTTGAGCAGATTCATGACCATTAGGACAATAAATCACCTGCTGGGAAAAAAGTTTAACTGATTCCTGGTTTTGTGGTGGACGTCCTGTTTGTTGAAGATCACTTTCTGATCCACTGAGCACAAAGGAACTGAATCAACATACATCACTGCTGGAATACATGTACCAATAACTTCTGTTTTATTTCTGCTGGTACACCTTCTGCACTAAATCATCACCTCTTGACGTGGTCAATTGGTGCATATTGCAGCCAAAAAAGGTATTTATCTTATCGATGTGATTGAGGTCATATTTTTAAAGACAACTGTAGTTTTTGTTCTTACATGTGCGGTCCCTCCGGATTTGTCACCACCTTTATGTTGACGTAGTTCACTCTCTGAGGATTCAGGCTGTCCAGTTCAACGCTTCCAAACATGCTACGAAAAAAAAAAAAAAGTCAAACAGTTTAGTTTTGAACACGTTTTCAGTAACGTACTCCTGTCATCTCACCTCTTCCTGTTGAACGCATTAGTAATAGACCCATTCAGCAACACGGTAATGTTCCCACATGCCATCTCTGCAAACTAACAAACGGGAAGCCGGTGAGAGCAAATTGGCACTCAAGTTTCTGAAGGAAAAGTTGCTTGTTGGAGAAAAAAATAAAACTTTACGTTTTGTGAGGCTCGCTTCCATAAAGAGTAAACGGGATGGGTTCTGCATGTCGACCACGCTGGACAAGAGTTGAAATCGAAGCCTGTATCAAACAAATTATATTTATGTTACATTCCAACAAAATACACATACAGTAAATCACTTTGGGATATTAGTCTAAATAGGTGTACACCAGCCTCAGTATTTTTACAGCTCAGCAGTAGATTATTGAAGGTGTGCTAGAAGAAATACTTTAACCTGGGCAGGAACCGAAAGAGCTAAATCATCCAGTTTGACCAGATCTAATGCTGAAATTAATGCTGTGAATATTTTGAAATTCTGGAGTGAGACTCAACAAATGAGAAGTTCTGTTTGCAGTTTGTCACATAGCACCACCCTTTTCTTTTCACGGCCCAAACATGCACATTATTGTATCATTTTATCCTATAAAATCAGAATAAAATGCATTGATGTTCAAGGTTAGGCTGTGATGGAATTGTAACAAAATTATAAGGCACTGTATTAATAATCCTTTGTAAAAACTCTTCTTTATTGCACATGAAGATCAACCAACCAGAGTCTTCCTCCTGGCCACACCAGATCAGGTCGTTGAACAGGAAACCAACCAAAGTGTCTTCTAGTGTCCAGAAGTGACGAAAAACAGCCGCATAGCTGTGCACCAACATCCTGGTTTTACTCCAAAACAGAAACTGAACAGATAAAAGGAAACCTCTGTTTGCCAAGCGATTTAAGAGCTGATTTATTAAAACTCCAGTTTCAACACTCACCCTGTCACATGGCCAGACCTGTGGCATCATGCTAAACATCTCAAAATAATGCTCTTCTGTCACATTACAAGAGGCCTGCTGGACAACAGCCTTCTCAAACTGCCTCCAGATCTCCTCACAGTCGTACCTGAATATGGAACAATTCGTCACAAAAATAACTGCTGATGAAAGACTTACAATTGTTTGGTAATGTGTTAGAAATTGACCAAAAGGGTAATTTTTTTGAGCAATTTTAGCAACTGTTAAGTTCAATGATTATGGATTGTACCTAAGAAATACCCAAAATTCAGGTTATAAGAAGCTTAGTATATCACATTGCTTGTGGACATTTTTCTGAGTTTTTCCTTCCACCGAACTTTCCATTGCTCTGTGAGTAGCCAGCTTTGCCAGCAATGAGGTTTAGAGCCGTACCCTCCTGGGCTTAAAGTGAGTGTCGGTGACTGATGGCTTGTCAACTGAACAAAGGAATATGTCATATAGGCAGGGCACTGGCTTCTTTATCTTTACGTGTAAGGACATGGATACAAGAAAAATAACAACAGCCTGCTTAAATGTGTCTAAGCAGCAATAATTAAAAACAACTGGAATTGTGACAAACAAGTCACAGTTAAGAGGATGACAAGGGAGGCATAACGTAGCTTTTCCAAGGCTCGTTGTTAGAGAAATGCAGGAAAGTGTGTCATCTTGGGGTCACAGAGTGCGGGAACCAATCACTTATTCTTAACACAAATGGAAGGTGACCTTACACTTTGGGACAATGAACCAAATGACTCCAGCAGTTAGTCTAAGTAAAATCAATAATTATGGTTTTAGAGTGGCTCAGTCAAAGTTTGGACTATAATCTCATTGAGATGCTGTTTGCACTCAAGAACCATTCAGTGATGCTGCGTTTGAGCAATTGTGCAAAAAGAGTCGACTGGAATTCAAGTACAGTAATAAAAATGACTCCTTGATAGTCACGACAGTTTGTCACCATTTTACAAAGTGTGGCAAAAACAGTTGATAAACTCATAGGGAGCTGCTCCTTTTTTACATGTAACCAGGTTGATTTCTTTCTTTTTTTCCATACTAAATAAAATCATTTGTTAAGATTTGCATTTCCACAGATTGTCTTGTGATAAAATGTCTTACAATTTGAGACATTTAAATACAACAATGAAAGCCAACCTCATAATAAAAAGGTCTGCAAACACAAGCTGGTGCATCCCGCTGAAAAACCTCTGACATGTAAATGACTTACTACAAATCCATCAACATTAATCACTGCTTTCTTTTTCAAGCTCTTTCATTCTTCAGCTAAGCTCACAAATGAACCCGTTCAAAACCATTGTTTAAATGTCAAATCTTAAAGCCACCTTTCACGGGCAAGGACCTGTTTAAATAAGTCACAGCTGCTGATGCCAAACTATTTTATTTTTCTCTGGGCTTCGGAACGAAATTAAGTCAGTAAAGATGTCTTACTCTTAACCAAGGCGCAAAATGTGTGTGTAAATACATTCTGCTATTTGTTAATGGTACATTACCGTAAGCCGGGCTGAACCAGTGTGGTGTAAGTGAAGCATCTTCCTATCACAATGTGCTTAATGTTTGGAGTTGTCCCAAACGTGGCTTGTACTGGACAGAGGCAGAGCTGAGGCACAATAATCCCTTTGAGTCAGGCACGAAGGTCAAAAAAAAAAAAAAAAGACATTATCTGTTACATTTAGGAGTGGTTCACTTTGTGAAAAATTGCCACGGGAACATGACATGAGAGAATTACTTACATATGGTGAATATTACGCAGCAAGCCGATTTAACAGGAGGCATAATGGTGGAAAGCTTGGTCGCGCCGTAAATCTTAAAAAGAGACATGTTTTAACTTGTCATTGCGTTGATAAGCCCCCCCGTAAATAGGAGGGCATAACTGATTGTAGCTGCAAAGTACAGCATTTAATTCTGAAGACTCAAAAGATGTCTGTCATTGACTGACATGTAATTATTATTTTTGAACAGCTAACAGTTTTCAACTGGTTTATTTTACTTTTTGCACTCATGCATTAAGTGTAAAAAGTAAGTTTTGTTAGTGCAGCTCTAACAAAACCACCAGCGTGTCAAGCACTCAATACAACGACTTCAAACTAATGTAAGACCAGGATACAGAAATCATTTTTTTAAACTTTTTTTTTTCTTTTTTAAAGTACATGAAGTTTAAAATATTGCGTACAAATGTCTGGAAAAATGTCAAGCTTACCACCTTCCATTTCCTAGTATTAGCCTGCAAAACTCTCCCACAGTTACTATGGGAAGCAGCTGGTTCTTGATTTCCAACTCACTGGTATGTCCAATAGTTCATTCCAACACTTTCCTTAAAGGACTAAGAGTTGTTGAGGTTGTTTTCGCTGGTTAACAAACATGTCTCCTTCTATGACCAAGGCATTCTTGAAAAACTTTTTTTTTTTCACCCCCATTTTCCAAAAGAAGATCCACATGACTCCTATTAGGATGCTGGTAGGAATCTCCCAAACAAAGTGTCTGCTGTACTCTGAAAATTTGCACCATAATTTGGGAGATAATATACACAAAGATTTCAAGAATTTTAGTATGAGCAAAATATCCAATCGGTTAAATTTTATTAGTTTTTGTCTGCTGACAAAAACAGTTCTATACAATTAAAGTTCTCTACATCAGTTTCTCTGAGTCTAAAAACTGAAATGTGATCAGTGTTGCTAATTTTGTCTCATTAAAGTCTCATTGAAATACTTGATAACAATGCATACATGGTATATGTCTCTAAAATAAACTGTAGGAAGTTATTTACCACAGAATGTCTGATTTTGTTTCCCTGCTCCCCAGATAGTTGTTTTGAATTAAGATGAAACTGAATAAATGTTTGGTTATGGCGACATTGCATTATATTTAAGAGATTTATCATGTACGATTAAAGTTTGATGTACTGTAAGTATTTCTTATGTTCATGCATATCTTCGAAGTCCATCATAACTTTTAGACGTCCTTTTGTTGCTGTTACCAGTGATGCTGATGCCATCTGCTGGTTTAAATCACGTTTTCTGCATTTGAACACTTTTAGTAAAGGAAAAGAAATAGAAATATGGCAAAACAAATTGGAAAGAAAATTAGAAAGGGAAAACATTGTATAAAATACAAAAATTGTAGCCTATTAAAGAATTGGCTATGAAGAAAGAAGTAGAAGGGAAGATGTAATAATGAGAAAACAGGAAATATGAGTTTGCGGGGAGAATTAAGGTGCTGATCATGTTTTGATGAAGTGTATTAAATATGCAACTGAAAGAAAGCGAACAAGAGTAAATATTATAAATGATAGATACAGAATTATTAATTACTTTTACATTAGACAATGCAAGAATACAGTGGGTGGAGACGGTGAGGTTACACTCATGTACACTAGGTGGCGGTATGCATCTCTGAAGTTGTTCTCAATCCACCAAGAAGAAGAAAAGAAGCGGAAGCTCCAGCCTCCCACTGCTAAACGTCAATGTTGTGGCTGTCTCTCATCCTCCAGGTAGGTTAAATTAGCTTGAGGTCCCTCAAAGTGTAAACTCAAAAGCGGAAGTTAAATCAAATCCACAATTGTTTGGGAAATTATCTGACGGTGTTTTGTAACCCTTTGGTACGTGGCATCTACTGTTGCTGTGTTTTAGTAAAGCCTTCCTTTATCTTCCAGGTGTCTTAATCTTAATTCTTCGCTCCTCTCTGTCAACATGAGCGATCCTTGGCAGGAATGTATGGACTTCTGTTTAGATGTCACCAAACGGGCAGGAAAGGTAAACAAACTATTCATGAGGATACTAATTTAGTTCACAAATAACCAGGTTTATTGATGTTACCAGAAAGCCTTCTAACAAAGTGCCACTACGGTAAAGTCTAATCAGGACAGCAAAGTCAATATTTTGGAATAGCCATCAGAAACCTGTTATTTTTATTTTACTTTACTTTAGTCACTTTTGCTAATAAAGAAAATCAGAAGACAAATCTGCCTCAAACATACCAGTTCTGTCAGGAGGAATGGGTCAGAACCCCAAGAAATTATTGTGATAAACGTGGTGAAGGAAAACCCAGACATTTAACCTAAGTAATACAGTTTAAAAGGCAGTTCTTCCATATACTAATCTGTGCAAACTTTTCAAATTCAAGAAAATAATAGAAAATTATCTGTTATAATTCTGACATTCAGCTGATAGAAATAATCTGAGCAATATTATGTGACATGAAGCATGAAAAGTTTAGACTAATTTCATTCTAGGGAGGAAAAAAAACAGAGTATGTCTCTTTATTACATGTCTGCACATATCTATTTCATATAAGTAAGAAAAAAAAGATAATCAAACCACTGATTGGAAATGCATAATCTTAAACCAGCTCATTGTGTTATCGCACATCCAAAAGCAAAGCAAAAACAAAACTGTGGTTCTTGGGAGGAAATAAATAAATATTATCAGCTAGATTTAGTGACGATGCTGTTAATCTTAATGTTGGAGAACTGTTGTAAAGAGTGGCTTCCTGGGGTCACTAAGTCTCCATAGCAACCAGTTGTCTGGGAAGCATCCCAGGAAAAAAGGCTATTCTGTCTCATTCTCTCAAATGCAAACATGTGGAGTTTTCTGAAGACTTCTGAAGTTATGTTACTGGAGACTAAGATTTCATTTTTCAGTAACAAACAGGCCCTCTGTTTTGCAATGTAGAGGATTTGTGATGCTGTAGTCCTGGTTTTCTTCTAGAAAATTTAGTGAAGTTCGGCAATAAAATTAATTTTATTTAAGGCTTTCTCTTTAAAAGTTGCAGATAGTCTTGCTTTCTGTGTGCAAGTTATTATTTGCGTTTTTTTCTGCTCCTAAAGTGTTCATTATGGAATTTGTTTCTCAGTACTAACATGTTGCAAAACGAACATAATGTTGTATTAAAGGAAACCCCAGACGGAATAAATTTGTGAACCTACAGAGCTCAGACACATTGTCGTCTGTGGCCAACCCTTGCCAACAATCTGTCACCATGACGCTCATCACATGGGGCTAATTAGAGCAGCAGATGTGTTCAGTCGTTGCCGTGTTTCTGACAGATGATCCGCGAGGCGCTGCAGAAGGACATCACCATCATGCAGAAGAGCTCTCCGGTTGACCTGGTGACCGAGACGGACCAAAAAGTGGAGCAGCTCATTATATCTTCCTTAAAGGAGAAGTACCCCACGCACAGGTGCGCTGCTGTTATGGAAGATCTGTGATGCATGAGTTTGTTTTTTTTACCTCAGCTGAAGAACAGCCGCTTCCAGAGGGCTTAAGAGGAATGGAGCGATTAATTATTATGCAAGTTTGCAGGGTTTCAAATCTGCAGTTGCTTTTGCCATTTGAGGCATTTCCCCTCTTGCAGCATTTTGTCTGTGGTAGCTGGATTTGTTCTGTTTTCTGTGATTGCAGTATTTTATATTTTTTTTTGTTTACAGCGTTTCCCTGTTGCAATAGTTTTTCAGTGCTTGAGTGTTTTGGGTCAGTCATGTGTTTGCAGCTGGTTTTGCCATTTGCTGCTACCGTTGCTCAACTCGAGTTGCCTGCTGTTGTGCCATTGGGTGGCTGTTCTAGATGTGCCGGCGTCTTGTAAACCAGATCACTTGCACACACATCGCCGGTCTGCACGTGGAGCAAATTATGACCAAACTTATGTTTTTTGTTTGTACGTGCACAACGGATTAAACCTTTGTAGTTAACCATACCTGCACATAATCTAATATGTATGTCGTCTGAATTAGTATCGTGGTCTGGGCTTTTAATATCAAAGAGATGATCGAAATGCAAACTTCGCATCGTATTCTGTTTTTTCCGATATATGCCTGTTTTTTATATATATATATATATATATATATATATATATATATATAAATTACGTTTATTTTAGAGAATTTACGCCGAGGCTTTCAAAAGAAGTGTGAAGTGGAAATCATCCACTTAGATGGGGAAGTCAGCTTTTTCGCTCAATAAGAGTAACTCTCTTTTTCTCTATTTTCTGAGAACACACCCAGGTAATTTGTAATTCTCAAGGTTTAAGCATTATTTTACAAATTTAAAGGGGAAAAAAGTCTGAACTTACACATTTTTAAAACGTTTTTTTTATGCTCCCATGCTACAGTAGAGCATACATGGAGAATTTGTGTCAATACAAGCAGGGGGCTCTCTGTTTAAAAAGGTTGAGGACCTCTGCACCCTCTAAATATTGTTTATGCTAAAGGCTAATGCCAGCAGACCCTACTTATATAATTACACATATAAACATGCAGAAAAGGTCATTTTACACTTTGTAAACGGTTTATTAATGTCCCTGTTAAACATATGAATAATAATAATATATTAAGGCAGTTAGTCTTAGTCAACACAAGGGCTTCTCAAACTTTTCAGGGTTATACAATTAATTATTTCTGGCCTTGAAAACACTAAACACATTCCACACTGTTGTTGTTTATCAAGGGAAGATGAAGGAAAAAATAAAGCAGTTTTGGAAAATTTTAATAACTCCATAAAAATGTTTGAAAATTAAAGTGGGATGTGACTTTATATGGTGTGTTGCATCCTTCAAAGGTTGTCCAAATTTGAATTTTCCTCCAAATGCCGCCCACAAAAGTGACTCACTTCTTTTTCTAAACATTTTTTTTTTTTGGCACTAGTGACTGTATTTATTAGTATGAGAGGAAGAAGGGCAGAGTGCAGTAAATGTTAAAATCGAACCAGTACATCTACGTCAAGGACTGCAGCTAGATGTACCTGCTCCACCAGTCAGCCACTGGAGCCACCACTACACCCTGTTTTTCCCGAAAATGTATAGGACAGAACAGGCCTGGCGTATCCTTTACAGCCCAAACTATCCCAAGATTCATTGAGCTTGAATGGGAGACTTTTGTTGCAACAATGGCGAATAAAACAGGAGACAGAGAGGGAGAATTTGAAATAGTTTTTTGAGCTTTGTGTCTTGTTAATGTGTTATTTCTTCATAAAAAGTTTGCCACGAGTGTCACTTCATGCATGTTTTAGGAATTATTGAATCACCGATGGCAACTGTTCATATATGCAGAGACAAAGTCAGGAATAAATCTAAAGGTTGGACCAACCAGTTTCCAGTTTGTGTTGCTTATCATATAGTAAAATAGAAATCAGGAAGCAAATAGTACATGTTTGGACAATGTTCTTTTTAAAATTTCAGCTTGTTAAGCTAACATCAAAACTGCTGTTTCCTTCCGTTTCCTTTTGTTTTTTGCTTTATATTTCAAAGATTCATCGGTGAGGAGTCGGTAGCCGCTGGCGCTCCCAGCGTTCTCACCGACGATCCCACTTGGATCATCGACCCCATCGACGGCACCACCAACTTTGTGCACAGGTACTCCTAACCGGGATGTGAGGCTCTCCCGGAAACCTGAAACTGCTCTGAAAATCTGTTTCATCTCAGTCCCTCCTTGACTATTTTTATCTTTTAATTAGCTTCCCTTTCTTGAATTGTCCTCTCTTGGATTGTCTTCAGGGATAATTAGATGAAAATGAACTGATAATAGATGCTCGCTTCTTAGAGCCTGATTCCTACTGGGAGTTCATTAAACGGATGTTTTATATTGTACATTTCTGTTGGGTAGGTTCCCCTTTGTGTCTGTATCAATCGGCTTCACAGTGAAGAAAGAGGTAGGTCTTAATGTATGCAAATCTCGTGTTTATTCCCCCGCTGTGATTTCTTGATTATAATAGACATTAACCCCATTGTCGCCTTGTGAATCTCTGAATAGTGATGCTGAAAAATCCCCCTTGTTATGCAGCTGCTGCTCTGCTTTTAGTCCTCCTCCCACACAGCTTCAATCTTCAGCGTGTTTTCTGCACTGCCTTTTGCTCTCAGATAGAGTTTGGGATTGTCTACAGCTGCATCGAGGACAAAATGTACACGGCACGGAAGGGGAAGGGGGCATTTTGCAACGGAAACCCCATCAAAGTGTCCGGACAGAAAGGTAGATTCCGTATGACACACGACTGGTGCTGTAGTTGCAAATCAATCCACTAGGTGGAGCTGGACGTCCGCTGTTGGTCCTGTTTGTTTCAGGTATGAATGGATTTCTTTCTGTTTCCCTTTCTGAAGACATTAGCAAGTCTTTGATCCTGACTGAAATGGGCTTCAAGGAGGAAGCTGAGCACTTCAACATTATGTTGGCCAACATCAAGACTATCCTCACCATACCTGTTCACGGGTAAATATTAACCTATGGAGTGATGCAGCAGTTCATGTAGGAGAAGGCAAAACCGACATACTTCTCAGGAACCTGACATTTCTGTATAAAACGTCATTTTTGTATTTTCGTAAACTCTTTTTTTTGTTTGTTTGTTTTCATTGTCTTGTAGGCCACAATTGTCAAAATTAGAAAAAAAAAATGGCTTAATGTTTTTCACTGCATGTGAGATGATTCCATGTAATGTATAAGCTTCAGTTTCTCCAATGAGTGGCACAAAAATGTTGATCTTTTTTATTCAAAACATGGTTCCAGCTGAGGCCATTTAGCAAACTCCACATAGGTTTAGGTTTGTGATAGAAAACCAGGAAAGGTTTTTTTTTTCTTTCTTTCTTTCTGGCAGGTAGATCCAGTAAGGGTTTATCTGGAAACTTGCTGACTTCAAGCCATTCCCTTTATGTCACTTGAAAAGTGTTCTTAAAACAACAATTTTATCGTTTATCGCAATAACTTCTGGGACAATTTATCGTCCAGCAAAATTTGTTATTCTGCTCCAACTCTTTAAAAAATGTTTTTTAGTTTTGGGTGGCTACTTTATTCTACATCTAGCACAAAATACCCCTCGAAATAAAATAAAAACATTGAAATGGAAACTTTTACACCTTCACACTCCATGGTCTCATTCAGCAGTACGATACTGCACATCTTGTAAAACAAACACTGATTGGCTCTTATTTTTTAATGTTAGGTTTTGTTTAGATTCAAAAATAGGAATTTACCTAAAAAGTCCTTTTTTCATAGACCAATCCCTCTGTAGTGTCTTGTGATGCATTTTTTAAATACCCTGAAAGCGCCTGAAGCCTCCCAGTGGGAGGTGTGTGTATAAATGGTCTCACCCTCTTCATTTTTAATCTTTTGACCTGAATTAGATCAAAACGTTGTCTATTAATAAATCATATGGAAGCTTCTGCTGCCCTCCACCTTCTTCTCCCTTGTTGTTGTGTACACAGCAACCTTTTTTATCCGTCTTTTCTAACAATAAAAGCCGCCTCTTGTTAGTGTTTTCTCAAAATGAAAGTAAGTTAGTTGTGCAGACTCATGTCAGAAAAAAAAAAAAAAGGAAAAGTTGAAAAAGCAACAATATGCACAGCAACATAACGGACTGTTAAGCAGGAGATGATTGCTGCTCATTTATTATTCCCACTACAAGCTGAAAGTAAATGTCCCGTTTCCAGGATCCGCTCCCCAGGCAGCGCAGCCGTCAACATGTGCCTCGTGGCGTCTGGTTCGGCCGACGCTTACTATCACATGGGGATCCACTGCTGGGACATGGCTGGAGGGGCGGCCGTCGTGACTGAGGCCGGAGGAGTCATCATGGACGTTTCAGGTGAGTCGCAGAGACAACTGGACGTCTCCAAACAGGTATTCTGCTGGAGACCTGCTGTCAAAGGGACCGATTAAATTATGTGCTTTAGGGACACTTCTACTAATTCAGAAGACAACAACAAATGTCATCTTGAGACACTTTTCAAAAGATTGGCCAGTTGGTCCAAGTTATCAAGCAGTGCAGTTTGATAAGTTCAGTTTGTTATTAAAGTTGGTTTAAAAAGTTTTTTTTCATCTTTCTGTGCTAATGAAAGGAAAAAAGTTAATAGCAGGAAGGGAGAACGATGAGTTGACTGCAGGATATCTCAGCCTGGTGTGTCTTCTGTGGAGAGAAAAACCTGAGAGAAAATAAGTTAGTTCTGGAATATATGTATTTATTCATTCATTTTGTAGGGTTAATGTTTGCGTGTTTTTTGATGTCACTTCCTGATGCGTTTCGGCTAGCGGAGCAGCTGTCAGTCTGTTGCCGTGACAACGGGTTTGTTATACATAAGTCATCAAAAAAGATGAAATATTTTATAAAGTATAGTAGCCATAGTTTTTTTTGTTTTTTTTTTGTTTAACTTTTAACAGACTATGGCCGTTAAAAGCGGCAATTATGTAAAATTAAATTATTGCCCAGTCTATTTGCTTACCATCTTGACAGAACTGACTGAAACCAAACTGTCTATAGATTTATATCTAGGGAGAATACATATCGTATGTCTTAAAACATCTGCAATTTTCTTGTGTTTAAATCAAGCCATATTCCATAGAAATCAGATAATGAATAAGGGAGCTTTAACCAGTTTTTTAGACAGATTCCCACTAACCCCACATTGGAACACTATGGTCTTCGTGGACATTATTTAGAGCTCAGTAATGGCGCCTGCAGGTGTGCGTCACTAGCCATAGCGGCTAATAGGCCCTGTCCAGTCCAGTAATATATATCGATGCTCCCTACAAAGCTTATCCAATAAAACGCCCGTAACCCTGTCATTCATTTCAACTTCTTTACGATGCATTAACTAATTTGTCTGATACTCAAAACTTCTCCATGCGATCGATATTTGCAATCTGGCCAGTGAGCTGGATGAATACTGCAGTTTGAGCCTGGCCTCATCGAAGCCTACAGACCTCCTAGACAAGCTGCTTCCTTTATTCCCGGGTTTCACTCCTTTCCACCCAACTGTAGGGATCGTCATGGCAAACTCGAGAACAATCGACAACTCCTTGCCTAAAAACAGAAACCAGTGTGTCCAGTCAGGTGAGGGAGGTGTTTGGACGTGGAGCTGATTCCCTGATAGCCCACCGCCCACAGGGGCAGCTTCTGCAGGTGGTTTCTTTGAGGTAAAGGCCCCTCTTCACTCTGAACCCCCACTTACGCTGCATGTGCTGTGCATCAAGGGCTTTGCTCTTAGGAAAGTGAAAGCAACCTTTGCGCTGCGCCAAGCATGCTGCGATGTACGGCGAGACGCGGAGAGGCAGGAAATCTCTCGCTGCTCTTCTCTAAGCCAAAAGTAGCCGGTCACTGTGGAAACGGAGCGCCGTCTCCAGCACCAGCTCTGTGAATCATAGCTTCACAACTTTCTTTCTTTTTTTTTTTTTTTTTACTTGCTAGTGAGATGAGTTCCAACTTAAGTTATGTAAAAAAAAAAATGCAACTTATGCTTCACTTTTCCAGATTTGGAGTGTAGGGGTCACTGTTGCACCAAGAAACAAGCTCAGCAAAATGTTATTTCTGGTCTGACAGATCTGTTATAGCACTTAATAAACATTCATCGCAGACAAATTGGACACATAATGGTTACTGTATGCTTCCCGAACAATTTTAGGGATGTTTTTGATTATTTTTATTGAACATTATCCAAGTGTCACCCCATTATATAAGCACCTTGGTTTTCCTTCCATGTAAACAGAAATGTCAAGATGTGAGGCAGCAGCAGGTGTCGGGATATTCACAAGCCCCCCCTGCCTGAGCACCGCTGTGTTCGTGGTTTCTGCAGAATAGAAAATGTCACCTTACAGTACTTGTTCTTCTTTTTCTGTCAAAGTTTTTCACCGTCTTCTACTATTCTCGTCTCTCGTTTGGTCCACGTTTCCTACGAGCCACAAAACACAGTCGAGGTAAACCGAAGGTGCGCCTGGTTTCAGGTCAAGAGTTTTACATCTAGAGACAAAATAAAAACAATCTGGTCTTTATTACAGTCTGGAAAAGTGTGGAGTTTTTCCTTTTACCCTTTTCTAGGCCTGCATTTTAATCAAAACCATATATTGAGAAAAAACAAGCAACATTTTCAATTCAAAAACTTTTCTGCTAAACTGTTGATATTTATTCTTTCTAATGTGTCCTTTAGGTTATTAAACTATCTGTTTGGTACAGATTATTACACCCATTCAGCTTTCAAGTGTTTCAGGAACCCCTGATCAGTCATGAACCTTTAAAAAATATACTTTTTTAGAAATGTGAATTGTGAACTTCTGATAGGCCATCTCCTATTTGCACAGCTTTCACACAACAAAGGTCTTTTCCAGCGTCCCATCAGATTTTTTTTTTTTTTTAGGGAAAATTAACTCCCAGTGGGCCAAGAGAGGCTGCTTCGTTATTCATCGTTTGTTTGGATGTGCAGCTTGTACGTCTGGTTTATGGGCATACAGCAAACTCTGATGAAAGTTCCAGCCTTGGGATTTTTGTTTGTCAAAAAAGATGAATTTTGTTAAGATCTATGTAATTAATCAAAACCAATGCATTAATATCCTACCAACAGCTGTAACAAAACAGCTAAAAACATAAAGAAATCGAGGTTCTTGCATCAATTCAAAACCAAAAATCAACAAATTTTCAACATGTTATTGAATCGTTCGTTTTCACACACGCTACTCTGTTAATCAATTAACTTCTTACCATATCGATGGGGAAAAAAGTCCTTATTTTTACATCTCTCTCCCTTAACCAGGTGGGCCGTTTGATCTGATGTCACGCAGGCTGATTGTTGCCAGCAGCAGGACGATAGCTGAACGAATTGCCAAGGAGATAACAGAGTTCCCCGTCGGCAGGGACGACACAGAAGGCCCCTAAACCTCCACAGCCAGCCGAAGCCGAGTAAAAACACACACAGCTGCTTTCAGTGTAACAAGTGTGGAGCCTGTCTTTGCCTTAAGCACCAAAATGATACAGTTACCTCTGAACAACAGCAGGCGGGTTCTTTAAACACTTTATTCTCCTGGATATCAGTACTTAGTCATACACACATGCTTTTATGTTGTTGCGTTGTTTGCACTGTGTTGTATTTTATTGAATCACTCAGGCATTTTTTTTAATTATTATTATTCAGTCAGAAGCAAGAAATTCATTTTTATCAATAGGTACCTCAAAACATCATCATTACAGCCATAAAAATATTAACATAAAGGTTCATTACTATCATTACTAAAGATACTTAAACTAAGAATATTCATTCAGTTGGGGGGGAGGGGGGGGGGAATCACATGTGAAAAATGTAACATTTTTTTTAAACATATACTCTCATGCAGGTTATTCACAATATCTTTAAACTTTAAAAGATATTTCTCATCATTCTTAAAAACGGGAAAGACAACAGAGCACTGAATTCAAGCCAAGCTAGTTGAATCGGCTACAAGAGAAGAGCTGCCGAGTCTAAACTTGCCCATGTCTGCAGTCAGAGCCATAAAAACCCCACATCTACAAACACTCTGCAGCAAAGAGCGGCGTCTTGGCCTCAGTATGTCTTCTTTGCAGCCAGCACATGCTATCTACATGCTAACCAGTTTTTGCAGGTCAATAAAAAAAAGTCCTATTTGTGATAAAACCTCCATTTTATGGCCTTAAAAAGTCCTGTGTCCAGATTTCTCGTACTGGGTCTGAAATCTAGTATGAGACACTATGTCTTAGATAATTTGTTTACTGCTTAATTCATCAGCTTTTGTTGACAATAGACCAATTTTTGCCTAAGATAGAAGATGGTATCTACAGGCAATTCTAATGAAAACACTCCTGCTCAGTTGACCATTTCTGGTCTTAAAAAGTCCTAAATGTAACTTATTGAAACTTGTAGAAGCCTTTATTTAGACAGTGGCACCATAGAAAGTCTTCCTACATGTAAATTATTTCATTGTTTTTTAACTGGAACTGGTGCTTTGGCTACATGAAACTAAGCTTTAGCTTTCCAGTATCAAACACTGAGAGTAGGATTGGTGTGATATAAAGCATTATTAAGCAGAAAAACAACTGAAACCTATTATGCATGGTGGAAGATGTGGGATGCTGGGGGCTGTTTTCCTTTCCAAATCCTCAGAGTCGTTGTTGGAGTGGTTGGTATTGTTAAGTCTTTGAAATGCCCCCAAAATTTAAGTCAAATTTTCTCAAGAGGATCATGATTTCCAAACGTGACCAAACCAACCCAGAAACGGTTCACATGACGCAATTATTTCTTAATGTTGGATTCTTTTTTTCCCTCCTCGGAATAAATATGCTGTTGGGTTTTATTGGAATTGTCCAGTGTGAGATTATTCAACCTCAATTATCTTATTTGTATGTAACTTAAGGGTTTTTAGACATCTTTTCCAGAAAGCGCTGTACCTGTTTTAAGAGTGAATTTAGCTTGCACTGTACACAATTCACCACATACACCACGTGACTAACTCCTGTACTGTATATCTATTTTTTTCTGTACTGTATGGCTCTTTATCAAGTCTAGAATAATAAAAAAAGCATGACATGTGTTTTTTTTTTCTAAGTTATTTAAAAATCCCCTTAAATATAGCTGCTGCATCCTTGCCTCTATATTTCAGTTTCATAGATTGAGTCGTTTAGCTGCAGCTGAGGCTGGTGTCAACCTGCACAGACACGCCATTGTTGTAAACCACAGACGTAATAGACAACTGGCAGCAGAAGTAAGAGCCTGTGTGTGAACATTTCTGCAGGAAATATGCTGACTGAGCAGATGGCGAGCTTCATGACTAAATATGGGAGCTCAGTGTCACGACTCATCCCCGCAGGAAAATAGAAATGAGCAGTTAGGAGAATAAAATCTGTCAAGACACCTCTCATTTCTGTTTTGCATCATTTAGACATCCCTGTTGAATTCCTGCTTCTTACATGTAAATAAAGTTATTCACATCCCTTCAATTTCACCATTTATTGCTGGGAACCTCGGCATGTTTTACTCAGGTTTTGTGTGCAAAATGGTGAGAAGAAAGGGAAAGTGTAAACGACTCACATTTTCTGTTTTACAAATGAAATCTTAAAAGTGTGGTGTGCATCTGATATACCTACGTAAAATCCAGGGCATCCAAATGAACTGACAGACTTTGTAAGAAGAGCATTGATTGGATAAGCAGCCAAGAGAGCTTTTGGTAACTCTGGAGGAGCTGCAGAGATCCAACCAGAGCAACAACAAACTGGTTTGGATCAAATCATGTCTGTTAGCATGCGCGGCCTCGTTATAAATCAAATTCAAAATCTACTTCAAGACTTAAAAGTTAATATTTTTTCTTGCTGCAGTTGCCATAAGAGATGGTTTTAATTGTATTGTGGCTGAATACATGTGTACACTCCATCCATCTTTCCAGGTTTGACCCGCTTCATTATGCTTAAAAAGAGCTTCCCCACAGCAAGCTGCTGCCACTACCGGTTCGGAGGGGGCATTATGGGGATCATCTGTTAACTTCCTGAACACACATAGCATTTTACATGCACTTTTGCAGGGGAGCCAACTACAAATACATGCTAGATGAATCCATTAAAATGCAATGTAACATCCCCCCAGAAAAATTAAACGTTGGAAGATTTATTAACGGTTTTGCAGAGAACTGTTGAGTTGAGCCACTGTGTGGAAAATTTGCTCTGTATCCCAGCTCCCCAACACCCAGGCGCAGTAACTTGAATCCACAAAGTGTGGCTTTGACCTAGAAAAGGGATAAATCTATAAAGTGAAGGCACGAACAAGAAAAAATGTCTCTGGTGACAAACTGAAAACAGGCCTCTGGACACGCAGTAAAAACAGTCACAGCTACTGTTGTGATTTAGGAGAGAGATAAAAGCCATTACAGCATGTAAAGTTGTGTGCTGCGTTTCCCCTGCCCTTTCAGTCAGAGCTGCAAACGGTTCACCCCCCCATCCTAGGCTGATATGCTCTATAAAATAAGCCTCCATGGGCTCTTCCCCCCCCCCCCCCCCCCCCCCCCCCCCTTGTTTTTTCTGTTCACTAAAAACTTT